GGGCCTACAGGGCCTACAGGGCCCACGGGCCTACTGGGTCTACTAGGTCTACAGGGTCTACTGGGTCTACAGAGTCTACTGGATCTACTGGGTCTACTGGGTGTACTGGGTCTACAGGGTCTACAAGATCTACTGGGTCTACTGGGTCTACTGGGTCTACTGGGTCTACAGGGTCTACTGGGTCTACAGGGTCTCACTACATAGACTGGACTCTTAGTGACTCTCTTGTTTTCACCCTCCCAAGTTCTGGGATTACAGGCACACCACTATGCCCAGTCTCAATCACCATCTCAGCACAGGGGCGGTGCTGGCACAGCATGCCAGGGATTGAACCCTGACCACTGTGCTCTGCCAAAACAGGTGCTTTAGTCTGCTGAGCTGTCTGTCTGGCCCTGCATATAGTAATTCTGTAGATGTGCACTATCAGAATTTGCAAGTTGGTCGACATTTATAGTAATCTAGTTTTTGCCTATTGTAAATTTGCTAGGAATATTTACTGCCAGGTTTTTGTGTAAACATGTAGTTTCTTTTAGTTATATGATAAATAAATCTATAAGAAATAGCAAATTTTTCAAGGGAGGTCTATTGTTTTGTATCCTGAGCAGCACTGTGTAGGAATTACAAGTTTTCTGCATCTCCACTGTCACTGGTACTTTAGCCATTCCATCAGGGGTGGAGGGCAGCTTATTGTGGTTTTGATTTGTGTTTTCTTAGCTGTAGTAGTGACAATAATTAGTGACTAATGGTGCTGTAGAAATTTTCATGGATTTATCTGCTATCAGTATATTTACTTTGGAGAAGTGTTTCAAGTCTTGTACTCACCGTTAACTTGACACTTGTGTATTTCCATTATTGACTATGTAAGTTCTTTCTTCTTGATAGAAGTTCTTGGTTGTGCATGGTGTTGGAAATATGTTCTGGTCTATGTCTTGCCTTTTTGCTTTCTCAGTATTAGTGTTTGAAAGGCAAAAGATTATTTTTTTGAGACAGACTCTCACTACGTGGTTCAGGGCAGCCTTGAGCTCACTATAACCCAAGCTGGCATTTGCCCCTATGTCTGGCTCCCAAAAAGATTACTTTTAGTGAATTTTAATTTAATCATTTTTTTCTTTTATAGTCTGTCAATCTTTTGGAGCATACTATGTACATCTTTGGCTAACTTGCAATCATTAAGATTTTCTCTTTCATTTTTTTCCTAGAACGTGCATTTT